CATAAGTTTGTTTCTGGCGAGTATTTTGCATAGATTCCGTTGAAATCCTGTCGAGCGCTAGAAACCGACCTTGTTACTGAAATATCTCAGCCAGTTCGCGTCTGGTAGTTGGGAAATTTTTTGTGGGACCTCAGTAAAGTATGGGCTACAAAATGTACGACTCAGATTTTTTTTGGGAACACTTTCGTTTTTTTTCAATAACCGTACAAAAAAGTTACGATTAGCTCATGTATGTACGTTCGTCACGCTCACCGGTCACTATATGTATGTACGTCCGTCACACCTTTGTACGAACAAACACACACGCACACAAACACTTTGTACTTTTTATATTTATGACCAAATTTTTTTCGTATGACCACAGACTTACAGTCAATGGAATAAAAGAACCTATCACAAGTTTGATGAATATATCTGTTATAGTGTCGTTTTTAGGTCAAACTCAATCTAATCCTTTAATTCCCACAGTTTTATGGCTTAAAACAGCTTCATTGCTCTTTTATTTCGAAAATCTCTTTATTTCGGCAATCATTTTGTCGTTTTTACATAGTTTTTGATCTGACGGCTAGCCTTTTTCAAAATTCCTGCTATTGGCTTCTGGCTGTTTTTGATGGCGAGCAGGAAAGAGCCGAAAGACGCAACTGAAATCATCCACAGACAGATGCATCGATAAAAAAACTACCAGTCGCATTACCATGTTCACACTATTTCCAGTGAGGCGCCAAGAGTGGGAGTGTAGTGTCCAAAAACGTAGCTCATCCTCGATCTGGCTCGCGGGACATCGACGCGTGGATCGGCTCGGCGAGCCTAGAGAAAACAAAAGTCAGCTCCCGACGACTCAAGCCTGATCGAGCTAGCTCGACTGTGCGAGCCGACTATCTTGCTCGCCCACCGCTGTTCGAAATTACTGTAATCCGTGAGAAAGATTTTTGAAGAAATTTTGTTATGAACATTTTCTTACATGAATTTTATCCTAAACAATTTGATTTTTTTTGCTCACTTATCCATTATCTGTATATATTTTAATTAGTACCTAACCGTAATTATGGCTACTTCAATCGTGTTTCTCAAGTGGTATTCTGGAGAGATCTCTGGAAAGATTTAGCGCATTTTCTATTCAAATCAGTTTATTTCGTAGTCTAAGATCTGCTCTACAAAGCCAAGCATGCAGTGGAGTATTGGACGTCACGGATCGGGACACCCGAAAAGCACGCTTTGGATTAATTAAGTAGTCGCTGTACGAAAAATTATTCAAGGAAAGAATTACAAAACAAGTTTGAGTTCATTTATCTGATTAAATAAAATAATAGTCATGTTTTTTTTATTTAAATGTACTTTTTTGTTACTCATAGTTGTTTCACTGTTAGATAATTGAAAATATACATAGTAATAAATGATACCTAGATGGCAATATAAAGTTAATTTTAGTTAAAAAATCATTCAGTCAAAATATTACTTAGGCGAATATTAGACTAAAAGAAATATACGGCGTAGGATGCACCTTTTCCGGTCCATGAAAATAGTGTCATTAGCAGGGGATTAGCTGCCGGTTAATGGATCGTTTTTAGGCAGTTCAATTGTCATAAAAACTCAAGATTAATTGCAATTAAATTTTTGACAAAACAATTTATTTTTCTCACTACCCAATTTAAAAAGCTCAGAATAAATCGATGCAAACTAGTTTTTAATTAGAAATTTGTTTCAGTTAGGTGGTAAAGTTCAAACTAATTTGAATTGGTTTTCTTTTAAACTGTCTCACCTAATTTAGCGTGAAATTATTTCAGATTAGTTCAGTTTTCAGTTAATTTAAACTAATTCGGTATTGCAAAACTAATTAGAATACACAGAAACACTTGTACTAACTACTAATAGTAGTTAGTACAAGTTTCAAAGAAGATTAATTCAGAGCAATTTCGAATTCAATTTTTCGAAATTTTTTCGTCAAGCTTAAAAGAGAGTCTTTGAAAGATCGGCAATTTAATTATTAGGTTTATGCATTGATTTATTACGTGAAAGTCAGGTTTACGTCTGTACGTAACTGGTAAGCTACTCACTCTCTCTCTATTTCTACGAAGAGTATCCAGCAGTATCGCATAGCGAAGACGGACCAAAAATAAGTGTGAGAAGGGAATATTATCAACAATGAAGATCCTTGTCATCGTTTGCTTTTGTAGCACATGATCTGACTGTCCACGGTATTTAATAATAAAGCGTTATCAAAGGTTGATGAAAATTCTAAATGATAAACTCGAACTTTGGAAAGTGACTTTTCCATAAATCGTGCTTCGCTCATGCCAAATCCAAAACCAAGAATATCGCTAGGGATTACAAAGTATAGAACAAATATTTTTGATCAAAATGAGATGTCTGACAGCTAGCAGATATGTTTTAGTCAGATTTGTTGGACGTTTAAGACCCCCCCCCCCGAGTCCGAAGCCTATCTCAGCCCAGGTAGGTCTGATCTGAACCGGACTATCAGAAAATGTTGACCATGTCAAAGTGTGGTAATCAAATTTTTTTTTGGCGCCGCATGCAACTATTCGCGAGTGGGCGTCACAACAAGAGCCAGAAATAGGCGTCTACCACGTGCAAGAATTTTCATTCCAGGTAAATGATAAAGAGCTCAGGTGTATTTGTTTTGCAGTGAACATATATGGCTAGAAGCTGACAGAGTCCGATTTTTGAATTTCTCATTTACTGATTCTCGTGCTTAATAGAACTTTAAGGTCTAAAAAATTCGTGGAAGGTTTCTCAGAAATCCTTATTTCTATAAAAAATGGAAGTATAATTTGAAAATCGGACTCTGTCAACTTCTAGATATAGGTGTTATCTATAAATCAAAAAAAATTTTCTTTCTCCGATGTATCGTTACCGAGGATTTCTGCATATGTCGAGAGCTCTGAAGCTAAAAAGCAGTCTTGAGAAAAACGCAAAATAAGTTTTGATTCTGTTAAATGCGTTTTACTTAAAAATTGTTTGAGCGTTAAATAATTTGTTGATATTTTGCTATAAGTTATCGATCATGGAGGATCTAATGAACATGTGTGCGGACATGAGCAACACATGCCTGCACTTATGCAATACAAGTGCAAAAAGCCTTTTTTTGCTGTAGGGCTTTTGGAAAACTCGCCCAGAACCTATGAAAAACCGGGGGACTTAATAGAAGCCCTGAAATATGTAACTAATGCCACCGTACCTTAACAGCGATAACACATTCATAACATTTCGTATTTCTAGAATTTCTTCACCAAATAAACAACGGATGATTAGATGCTGGATTAAACTAGGATATTTCTTTAAATTTATTAATTATTCTGACCAGCAGTAAACAAGATAATCTAAATAAACACTAAAGAACAGCATCCATGCTAATGCTGTCTTGTGTAAGAATTATGTCATTATTGTCTGATTTTCTATTTCTACAAAATGGAACAATGATGGATGACGAAGTTGCAAATAGATGATTTATTCTCTCCAGACTTTGATTCTTTGTTTCGGGATAAAACAAGAAAATGCACAAAGCCGTAATGAAACAGCAAACACCAAATAACAGATATGTGCCATAAGTAATTGATGCCATTAGAATGGGTATCATAAACGATGTGGCACAGTTTAACGCCCAATTAGCTGCTGTTGTTAATGAAATGGCCTTCGAACGCATTTGAATGGGAAATAATTCTGTCGGATAGATTCTATAAATATAGAAAGGAAAAAAACCTGAGACAGGTAGGATAGACACGATACTTACTGTCCACACGGTCCCCATGAGTACGCATAAGCAGCCACAAAGACATAAACTAAAGCAATAATCGTATATTTGGCTGGATCACTAGTAATAGTTAGAGTATTAGCATTCGTGCTTGAATCAATTTCATGTATTCCGTAAACACTCATTAAAACGCCGACAGTTATCATTGCTATACCCATCAATAAAGCACCAGAAATTGTAATAAAACGACGACCTAATCTATCTATTAACAAGATAACGGGAATTGTAGCAAGAATATTAACAACACCATTAATACCCGTAGCTAGTAGACTCGATGTTTGACTGTTCAAACCGGCTTGTTTGAAGATTGCTGGTGCATAATAGAGAATAGAATTAATACCGGTAAATTGTTGAAATAGTTGAATAAAAATACCCAAAATTAAACGTCGACGAAGTGGATAGCGAAATAGTTGCGCATAAGAATGAATCGATTGTTCTTGTTCAAATAATAATTCTTGTTTTATTTCATCATATTCTTTCCAAACATCGTCATCATTTGTCGTTCGACGCAATTTTTTTAGTACATGCATTGCCTCTTGATCACGATTCTTTCCCAGCAACCAGCGCGGTGAGAATGGAAAAAAGAAGAATGTACTGAATACAAGACATAATACAGGAACGAGTTTTAAAGATAATGGTAAACGCCATGACATAGTTAACCCCGACAGATTTAAACTTGTGCCTGTAGCACAAAAACCAATATTGTGATGAAACAGTAAAGAGAAGAAATGGGAATAAATTACCGTAAACAATCCAAATACCAGTAGCCATTCCGATACTGAGAGCTAAATTTTGTAATGATAGAATTCGACCACGAATCTCTTTTGTAGTTATTTCGGATACGTAAAGTGGGACGAGCATAGAAAGACCACCAATACCCACACCTTTGATGAAATGAATAAACAACAACATTGATTCTCATTATTGTATAAATTTCTTTCGTAAATAACACAAATATTTACGTTTAAAGCTTTCATGCCTCCGATTTATTAAGTTTTAGTTAAATATAAATCGATGTACAAGAAAAACTGTACCTGCTAGGAATCTTGATACTAAAAACATTGATAAATTGATTGAACATGTTTGAAGAATAGCTCCAATGATAAATATAAGAGAAAAAAGAATAATCGAATATTTACGACTAAATCGATCTGAAAATAAGACATATGAAACTAAGTGTTAAGAAACGACGAAGACGACATTACTAACCGCCACTTGGTCCGGAACATAGAGCTCCAAAAAAGCATCCAATCAATAATATGCTGATGATGAGTCCACTCATTGTGCTCGATAATGAACCGTTTTCATCACCAAAATAATTGAGAAAATCTTTCGTTGCTATCACAGCACTGATCACGCCGATATCGTAGCCAAAAAGAAAGCCAGCATTTGATGCTAAACCACCAATAAGATAGATTTTCAAGTTTTTCAACATTCTTTTTTCTCTTAACAATCTACAACATTAATAATTCTTGTCTTTCTCTCAAGTAGAACAAGAGTAGATGGGGCTGGACTCACTGTAGTTTGAACACAATTGAATTGAGAGACAAGTTCGCACATTATTTTGTAACGGTAAAATGTATGCGTGATAAAATCGCCTACAACATTTTGGTACATAGTGACAAAATAGAAAGTGCAAAGTAATCTTATACAAAAATCATGATTTTTTATCAATATTAAAGCGTAACGTGTAGTAATAGTATAGCTGTCAAATATAATAAAAGTATAATAAAAGTATAATTGCTTTTTTTCTTTCGTCAGTTGAATATAAGTACTTTGACCTTCTTTTGCTCTTGTATAATAAAACCTTAGTTTGAATGACTGTTTTCATTTGATGAAATGAAAAAATGTTGTTTTGCAGTTGAACAAAAAGAATACGTTTGTAAAGACAGAGAGCGTATAATTACTGCGTTTCAAATGGTTGGATTATTATTAGAAAGTGTTATAGTTTCAAACAGTGATTAATTCAAAGAAAGACCACGTCACAAACTTAAGTCAGTACAAAGACGATATTTATGGAAAAATACCCAGTGAACTAATTACAGACAAATCTACGGATACTGATAGAAGTTAGATGGCTCAGAGACAACTTTCAACGGGAAGCTATTTCGCTCAACGATGAAGAACGTTTCAAAATTCCTTGTGCTTGATAAGTGCTACTAACTAACCTTTCGCTCTGTCTTTACTTTTTTAAAAAGATCAACTTCACTTAGAAAGAATTTGTGGAAACGAGCCGATTTAAAAAGACTTCGTAATATACAAGGTTTATGATAATTACAGGAAAACTGAGTTTTAATTATGTCCGTAAGTCGTCGTATGTGAAAAGATAAAAATACTTTATATGCTAGATGTCTACTATTTTTTGATAAATGTTTTTTTTCTTCTTTTGTTTTTACAACTTACTCGTATACATTCTACTAGTTGTCACAAGCTGAGTGAATAAACACTCATTTTCCTTCCTCTCATACACCTTTAATGGTGTTAATATTTAGCAATTTATACGATGCTTCAAGTATATCAGAAAAAATCGGGTAAATAAATCATAAAGTGATAACAATCATTAAACAGAAGATGGGTGACTGCTTTTGAAGATCAAATCTCTAAATTATTCTGGTTAACATCTGTTGAGAAAACTGCTTCTCTCAGCCTCAAAACAGCAGTAGACTTTTGTGCAAAAAGTTACACATCTGTTAAGATGACTTAAATTGGAGACTTTTCGGATACTCGCGCATGTACTAAAAATCGCTAATGTTGTTTCTCACTAATAAAGAGTGTCAGAGAAAACAAAAGATAGATTACCATACGAATGTCTCAGACTGCTAAATATGCTTATAACTTCTATATCTCGGCCTAGTCAATTCCACTTTGACCTGTTTTAAGTCAGTTATATTCCTCTTCAAATTGTCTCTATTCATATCACTGGAACAAGTCTACACTACGATGGTAATGAACAGAGCGGCAAACAAAGATCAAATATAAGAGATGTGTAAAACTAAATGTTTTGTTCGGAATTAGATACAGATAATCTGTGAAGTAGAATCCGTAAAAGAACTATGAAAAAACCAATTCTTTAGCAATATTCTGCTCGAAAAAAAAACGGCAACTTTTTCAAATATTCTGAGGATACGCACTCTGCCACAAAATGCAATAGCATGCATACAACAGTAGAGTAAGTTGGGGTAATTCTGGACAGCCTCTCGAATTTTCACAGTATTTTGAGCGTACCTGAAGCATTTTTACTCGGGAAAAAACGACACTTCGCAGGTAGATAGACCGAACATTTCTCTATCTACTAGTGTAATGATCTTGTTAAAGTTCAATAAGATTAATACTCATCAATTTCCAGAGAGCTCCTATCAACTATCCAGAATTACCACATTTGGAGTAATTATGGGCAGTCAGTGTGTCTCGCTGGGGTAATTATGGACAGTCCAGCAGAAATGGCCGGAAGAAAGTAAAACAACTCTTTGTCAACGGCAAAGTTTTACCTTTCTGATTAAAAATTACATCATCTTGTAGAGAATTTTGAGCTCTATCTACGTTGTAAATTGCTAATCCTTTGGACACATCCTTGACTAATTAATTAGAAATTGCGAAATTAAACGAACATAGCCGTTTTTCCTATTTTTCTCGCTTGGGGTAATTATGGATACCCAGCTATTTTGCATGGGGTAATTATGGACGCTCCGTGCAAATCGCACGGGATAGACAGAAAACAACTTCTACTGTCTTTCAGAAACAGATTTTGATATCATGCTAAACGACACAATTGTTGAGAACCATGAGCTCTATCATATATGTAAAAACCGGATAAAAAAGTGTATTTTCATCGTTTCCTGTAGAGAATATGAATACTGCTGTTTTTGAACGATCTTTCGTTCACTAAAATTATAAGAAACATTTAATTAGAACCTTAATTAACAATCAGATCACGAACAAGTTCAACTTTTCATAAACCTCGTACAATTCTCTTCATGTTACATCAAACGTGTTTTTTTAAAACAGCCCACCTAAGGTGAACTGTTTCTCAGTGAATAGTCAAGAGTCGGGAATATTTTATTACAATTTCTGCGCTTTTTGCTGGGTCAATATTTCAACGGAGGCTTGTGACTTCCCGACTACATTATGGAGAAAACTGGTAAGTCCTGACTACTATTGTTGAGCAAATTTTGTACGAAGTTCTAGCTGTATGAGAAGTGTTGCGGCAGTTCTTAATATTGGAGGTAAAAATATAACAACTGCGGCTTAGTTTGAAACTAAATCAATCAAATTTAACGAAAAGAAATGCTATTTTCATTAATGATCTTAAAAAGATGCCAAGGAATTTAAATGCAAAGTGGAGTAAAAAATGTGCTCGGCACATATAAGTACAGAGGAAAGATTGTTATTCCTTACAATATCATTAATCCTACACTCGCTTTTACACATCTTAATGCCTCGAACATACGTTAAAAACGGCCAAGTGCCTCGTTATTCAAATGAAGACTTTCAACTTGCACTCAAAGAAATTTCTGAAGGCAGTGATATTCGTGCTACTGCAAAGAAATACAATATTTCAAAATCAACGTTACATTTACATCATTCATCACAAGCATCTCATGGCGTTGGACGTGCCACTCATTTTACAGAACTTGAAGAAATTTATTTGGTTAGTGCTGCAACTGTACTTCAGATAAGTTTGTGAATGATGGTTTTCCTCAACTTTTACATTTTCTCATCTTTCTTTAAGAATGGGGAGAACCGGTAACACCAAAGGAACTGATTAAAATGGCGACATGTTATGCTTAAGAATTAGGAAAAGAGAAGTCATTTCAAAATGGCCAATCGGGCATTGAGAATCATCATATACAGATCCACCATCATGTGTTATTTCGTCTGCTCCATATAATATACCAGGTATCACCGATACTAATTATGATAGGCATATTTTATCAGTACATTCTCTAGAATATTCAAACTTTCC